TCCGCAGGATTGGCCTTGCCCCCCCCCCTTCTCTCTGACCCCTTGAGGCATCCTTTCTCATACCCTTCCAGATAACATCTGAGTTTCTTCCATGGCCTTTGGCTATATGCTCCCCACCACAGGTTTCCTAGCGTCTTCCCATTACCTTCAGGGTCCTTCTAGGACCCCCTTGGTCATCTCTCTACCCTCAGACCCTCTCTCCTTGCTTCTCCCCCATTGCCTGGGTCCTCGGGCAATCTTCCCTCAAACATGTTTGGGCCTCTCAGACCTCCCTTTCCCTCTCCAGCACTTTCCTTAGCTTCTTCAGAGCTTCTTTTCCTTCCTGAGTCTCCTCCTGTTTCCCCCAGACATCTCCCAAGCCCCTCGCCCTCCGAACCTCCTGTCAACATTTGGAGCATCCCTCTGGCCTGTTCCATGGCAGGAACAGCTGCAGTGCCTGTATTTTTCAGGAGAGTCCAGAGTACTTTTGTGTGACAGGTCATGTTTGCTCCTGTGAGTTTTAACGTCTTCATGTCCCCAGGTTTGGCCCACATGGTAACTCGGGTTTATGGATGAGGAGGGGACGCCTGTCATTTTACTAGGGTCACATATTTGTATCAGACGTTTTCCACCTTACCCTTGGTCTCTAGCTTCAGCTACCTGCTACATGATTCCTTGCACGCACACATGTACACACCCACTTCATGCTGTATGAGCTCTGCTTCCCTTCCTAGTTCCCCCATCTTTTATGGTCTCACTTCATTATACAGTGTAGTTAAGAATGCCACCTCTGGAGCCAAGAGACCTGGTTCAAATTCCGGACCCACCACACACTAACGGTGGGACTTCGGGGCAGTCACTTCACCTCTCAGGGCCTCAGTTTCCTCATCTATAAAATGGGGTTTATAACAGTACCCACTCCCTCAGGCTGTCATGAGGGTGATATGAGGATGGCATGAAGTCACTCATGTAGCTTTTAGCCTATAACAAGAATTTAATGCTTGCTGCTGCTCTTACTGTTGTCTTGGTCAAAAACTCTTCCCTGGGGCCTGGGGCCATGATGACTGAGGCTGCCACAAAGACACTAGCCCCAGGTCACCTTTCGGGCTGCCAGATCATGTATCTGCAATCTTGGCTTTCCCCTTGAAGCAAGGTGAGGACTTCCTACCACTTAGCTTAGCTTCTCCCTTTCACCCTTCCCTTCTGAGTCAGGGTGGATACAAAGTTCTGGGACAGTTTAGCAAGCAGAAGCTCTGGGGAGCCCCCAGGGCCCCCTCCATGGCCCCTGGCTGAGTTTCAGATCCATGTCGTCGGGCCTGCCCACGGGGATGTTCCGAAAGTTCCTTTTCCAGTGTCCTGCCCGGGTCTTCCCACCAGGGCTGCAGCGAGGGCAGGAGGAAGCGGTGCTTGCCATGGTTGGCCCCGTGACCTGCAGTGTGGGATTTGGTCAGTTCAGAAGCAGGACTTTCTCTGGGCATTTGAATGGGTGTCTTCACTGGTGACAGAGTTGTCCCCAGAGTGGGAGGAAGCGAGGACTTCTGGGATTGCTGGGAGCTTGTGAAACATCGCGTCTATTTCTGCTCCTCCCCATTGGGGTAGTGGAGTCGTCAGGGGGCTGGGGTTTGGGCCAAGAGCTCACCTCAGTCTGGACTGGGGTGGGAACTCAGTAGGGAGCTGGCATGACGGGAATGCTGTTGGTGAGGGTGTGGAGGATGAGAGGTGCTCATGCTCGCCTATTGCTCTGGGGAAAGGCAGAGGTGGCTCTCTAGGGCCTTCCTGCTGAGAATGGTTTTGCTTTGTTGTTTGGTTTGGTGGATTATTGCACAGGCCTCCAAGCAGGGCTCCCAGCTTCTGCCCTGCTTCCCACCCCAGATGGTGTATCTTTAATTGTAAGTCCTCCCTGGCTGTCTGGATTAGGGCCAGAGCCCTGAGAAAGGACTTTCTCCCTGTACCCGTCTCCTCCCGCAACCCCTGTGTATTTCCCTCCAGGCACATCGGCCTCCTTGCACACTCCTGCCCCAGGTCTGTGCATTTTGTATTCTCCTCACTATTGTAGTCTTAGTGCCTAGAACAGGGCCTGGTGTGTAGTGGCCACTCAATACAACAAATATTTGTTGAATATGAATGGACAGAGCATTTGCTGGGAGCCCCCAGAGACTCGGTCCTGTTACTGACTGGGTGACCTTGGATATGGCTGTGGGTTTCGGAGTCCCCTTTTATAAAATCTGGGGGCTGGGACTTGCTGTTTTTGAGGGCTCTATAACTCTCAGACCTCAAGTCTTCTCTGTCCTCCAAGAAGTCTGGTTGGACACGAACTGGTGGAGTTGTCATGTGGGTGACATGGAGGGCTCAGCTCTGAGGTTCGGACCTGGGGAGCACTGAGATGTTTGGAGCAGAATGTGTCCCACTAGAGTCCTTGGCCTTGGAAGTCTCTGCTCCTCAAGGGATGGGCCTCTCTGGAGGCCAGAACCTCAAATGATGGAGGCTCCAGAAATAGCATGTAGGTGCCCACAGGTTTGCTTCCTGCTGTTATGCCAGCTCCTGGAATCTTGGCTGATTTGGGCCTCCCAGTGGCCAGTCATCTCCCAAATAGCAGCTCCTCACTCACTATGGCTCAGGGAGGGAAGGCAGCAGAGGACAGTGGTAAAATCAGACCTGTGCACAGGGTCTCCTCCAAGCCAGCTGGGGTCAGGGGCCTGACAGAACGGACTTGGGACACCAGTCTTTGGGTAACAGTATTAGTGGCTGGACCGTGCTCTTCTCCCGACTCCCTTCACTTGGCTAATCCTACTCATTCTTTGTTTTTATTTTTTAAATATATTTTCATTCATTTCAGAGAAGAAAGAAGAAAGAGAGAAACATCACTGATGAGAAAATCATTAATCGGCTGCCTCCTGTATGCCCCCTACTGGGGATCCAGCCTGCAACCCGTGCATGTGCCCTGACTGGGAATCAAACCGTGACCTCCTCATTCATAGGCCTATGTTCAACCACTGAGCCACACCAGTCAGGCTGTTTTTCCTTTTTAATATGCTTTTTATTGGTTTAAGAGAGAGAGAAGGGAGAGGGAGAGAGAGAAACATCGATTGGCTGCCCCCAGCAGTGCACGCCCCCTACTGGGGGTGGAGCCCGCAAACCTGGGCACATGCCCTGACCCATAATCAAACCAGTGACCTCGCAGTGCATAGGACGATGCTCGGTTTTGAGCCACACCACCAGGGCTAATCCTACTCATTCTTCAGGTTTTAGCTTAGGCGTCTCCTTCAGCCAGTATGTTTTCCTGACTGTTCTACTGCCTTTCCCTTCCCCATTATAGTATGCAGGGCCATGTGGCAATTCTCTGTTTACATGTCTGTTCTCCTCACTAGACCATAAGCCTCATTGAGGGAACAGGGGACTCTTGTCTTATTCACTGCCAAGTATTCCTGCTTCTTATTGAAGGTGTTGCCTGGCACGTAGAAGGCCTCCGTAAATATTTGTGGAGTGAGTGACTGACTGACTGGACGAATGAGTGAACATGGTCATGGATGGTTCATCTCAAGTGACATTCCAATTAATTGGTAGTAGCTGCCTGAAGCTCTGGGTTTAGAAGGATTCTGAGGCTGCAGCTAAGTGTACAGTGCTGGGATCTACTGATTGCATCTGCCATGGCTCAGGGCGAAAGTGTGGGATTAATTAGTGATGTCAGGCACTCATGGGGAAGTGGCTGCTGCCTCTGGGAGAGGCTCTATTCGAGAATGCGGGGGTGTTTGCTGGGATGGCAGTACCTGCCTAGCATTGTAGCCCTGTGCCCCAGGGGGCCTGTGGGGTAACTATTCATCTTTTTCTCCCTCTCTTTCTAGCTGTCCCTTCTTGGCCCGCCAACTGACCCTTGCCATCCCCATCATCGCTGCTATCCTCTTCTTCTTCGTCATGAGCTGCCTGCTACAGACGAGTTTCACTGACCCTGGGATCCTGCCCCGGGCCACCGTCTGTGAAGCAGCTGCCCTGGAGAAACAGATCGGTGAGCTCCTACTTCAGTTGAAGCTGTGTCCCCCAGGTCCACATTCCCCGATTTGATAGGAGGCTTGGTTTTCTCTCCCCATATTATGCTGGGAACTGGGGGTCAATAGTGAGGAAGGCAAGTGGGAGCTGACACTAGAATGGAGGAGACAGATGATAAATAAGGGAGCAATAAACAAGAAGTGCTAGCAAGTGAAAGCTGTCATGGCAGCCAGCATAGTACCGAGAGCTTCCTGGGTGCCAGGCACTGTTTCCACTTCTTTATATACATGATCTTATTTAATCACCCAATAATCCTCTGAGGTAAGTACTGTTGTTACTCTCCTTTCACTAATTAAATGGAGTCTCAAAGAGGTTAAGTAAATGGTCCAAGATCACACAGTAAGTGGGAGAGCTGAGATGAGACCCCAGGCAGTCTGGCCAGAGCCCCTGCTCTTAAACATTTAAATACACTTATCCATTTACTCATCAAACATTTATTGAGTCCCTACTATGTGCCAGGTACTTTTCTAGATGCTGGTAATACAGCAGTAAACAAATCTGACAATAATCTCTGCCTCTTGGAGCTGACATTCCAGCGGAAAGAATTAAACAGCAATGAAAGAAAGATCTAGGATGTGAGACAGAGAAGAGGAAACCAGGGAGGTGGGATGAGAGCTGGGGGAGAGTGTTTGATTTTAAACAGGGTGGTTGGGGAAGGCTTTGTGAATGAGATGACATCTGATTCACAAAAAGAAACAAAAACCTGCAGAGATGAGGGTTTGAGTTGTGAGGATCTGAGGGGGGAGCACAGTAGGTTGGGGAGTGGGCTAATTTAGATTAGGTGGTCAGGGGAGGCCTCTAGGAGGAGGTGGCACTTGAGATGAACCCTGAATGGTGCAATGGAGCCAGTAATATGTGGTTTGGAAACAATAAAAACAAAACCCTGGAGTTGCAGATAAATTGGTGTGTTTGAGGAATGGCAGGAAGGCCAGTATGGCAGAAGGACCTGTGCTCCCAGGCACCTCACATGGCCCTTGACTCCTCCCAGTGTGGGTCCCCCTGGTGGCTGGGCAGCAGGGGGTGCAGGGAGAGGGGCAGGGCCTTCATCTCAGCTTGCTCCACCCCAGCTCCTTCCTGCAGAGAAGTGACGTCAGTATTTGTACACCTCACGGGTTTCCGGTTCCTGGTTGGCTCCTTCCCCTAACAGGGTGGCTTTCAGACAAGCTTTTAATCACCCAGTTGGCCCTGAAAAGATCTCGTGGCCTATAATTGCAGAGGCTGCTGCACCCATCACAGGAAGTCATTCCACTAATTTTCTGCAGCAGCTCGGGAGGGTGGTAGGAGGGGAGAGGATGTTCTCTCGCTCTCTCTGCTCCTTGTCTCTTCCTCCGCCCAGGCCCGTCCTCAGTCACGCCCTTGGTTGCTGTCTTCCTCTGCCTGCATCCAGCTTCCTTCCCTCTTACACGTCTGAGCCACTCGGCCTGGTTTCTGCTCTGTCAGAACCCCAAGGTCTGACCTGGGCCAGTCCACCCGGCAGTGGGGAGGCTCAGCTGCAGCCCCATTTCTCCTCCCACCTGGTCGGGCTAATCAGGAGGCAGGATTATTATCCAGCGCAACCTGAGCTCAGGCCTGGCTGCCTGGAGTCCTCTGCTTCCTGTGAGCTGTCAGGGTAATGCTGACGACAGTAATCCCCCATGTTTGGGGAGAGCTTGACTGTGTGCTGAGGGCTTCCTGTCCATTATCCCCACAAATCCTCACAGCAGCCGGCCGTGCCCATGCAGAGATTGAGTGTGTGCCTTGACTCCCAAACCCCTTATCCTAATGTCTCAGCTCAAGTGTCCTGTACTCTGGGAAGCCTTTGTGACCCCAGGTGGGCCACACCTCCCATGACACATTCCCAAAACACCTTTTCCTGCCGTCTTGGCCCTGTGCTGCTTGATGATCGTTATGGAATTGTCAGGCCCAATAATAGCCTTTCCCAGTGAGTCTCTTCTTCACCTGTCAGCCACCTGGACAGCTGAGTGACTTGGGCTTAATGTATGAGCCTCCTTGCTGCCCCCATGTGACGGTGGAGAGACAGTGGAACTTCTCCCAATTAGGCATTACGGGTTTGACCATTTATGTGTTGATTCTATATCAGTGATGGCGAACCTTTTGAGCTCGGCGTGTCAGCATTTTGAAAACCCTAACTTAACTCTGGTGCTGTGTCACATATAGAAATTTTTTGATATTTGCAACCATAGTAAAACAAAGGTTTATATTTTTGATATTTATTTTATATATTTAAATGCCATTTAACAAAGAAAAATCAACCAAAAAAATGAGTTCGTGTGTCACCTCTGACACGCGTGTCATAGGTTCGCCATCACTGTTCTATATGCTGACTACTAACTGTGTGTGTTTTGGGGCAGGGGTGGGGGGCGGTGGGCAAAGGTAGGCCTGACTGCCTGCCACTGGTGAGATCAGGCTTTGGAAGAGGATCAGGGAAACCAGGAGTACCTTCTGTCCAGAGGATATGGGGAGGCCTCATGGAGGGGTGCATTGAGCCAAACTGTAAAGTTTGGGTCGAGTTCAAGCACAGGAAGATGTGTGAGGGGAGCCCTCCAGGCTGGAACAGAAGGGGGAGAGGACAGAGTGGGAGGAGGACTCTGATCAGGCCATGTTGACTGGAACACAGGGAGTACTTCAGAAAATTTGGGAAATTCTCTTTGGAGGATGGGGTGGCGGCAGTCTAGTGGGGCTCACATGTCAGGGTTTGAGACTTTCCTTTGAGAACAGTTGCCAAGCCTAGAAAGTGGCATCTTTGAGGGCTCTGAATTCTCAAACTTGAACAGGAGGCTTCCAATCAGGTTGAAACATTTTCTTGAAAAGGACTAAGGTCACTGAGCATTTTGTGTTTTGTTGGTTTGTTTTTCTATTTCAGAGAGGAAGGGAGAGAGAGAGAAATATCAATGATGAGAGAGAATCATTGATTGGCTCCGCCTGCAAGCCCCTTACTGGGGACCGAGCCCACAACCCGAGCATGTGCCCTTGACCAGAATGGAACCTGGGACCCTTCAGTCAGGAGGCTGACACTCTATCCACTGAGCCAAACCAGCGAGGGCTCACTGAGCGTTTTTGAAAAGGTTGGGGGCTGGCTCTGGGGTGGTGGTGCTGTTCATTTAAACGTGAACTGATTACTAGGCCTGGGTCCATGCAGGCTGTGGGCGTCTTACTTTGGCCCGTAGACCAGCAGCCCCAGCCCAACAGGATCTGGCCCAGGGCTCCCACCCCACAAGCACTGTCTGAGGTTGGATGACCAGGGCCTCCCAGTTTTTCCAGGACTGTCCCTGTCCCTCGTTTAGCACTGAAAGTCTCCTGTCTTGGGAAACCCCTCAGCTGCAGGCACACCGGGCCCTTGGTCACCCTGGTCTGAGATTCTGACTTGTCAGCTGGCAGGCCATGCAGTGGGATCACCCTGCAGGGCCATACAGAGCTCAGGTGATTGGGCAGTTGGGAAAGGGGTAGGAGGTTGCAACATTGGCCCATAACCTCCTGCTGTGATGGGAGACGATAGAAACATCTAAATTCCATGGACAGACATTCATCTAGAATCACAACAACTCACAGGACAGACATGAAGGCCTCTTCCTCTGCCAGCACATAGCAGGTTACAAACCCCATGCTGTCCCCAGGATGTCTCCTCTCAAGTCCTTCCACAGTCCCAGGACCGACTCCATCCCGATTGGCTCTGCTGACCAGGCCTGGACACCTGGCCTCTCCCTTCGGTCATGGTTGTCTCTCCAAGACTCACATGTGGCCCTGGCCCTCCCAGGCTCAGAATTTGGGTGACTTCCTAGCGCCCTCAGCAGCATTTCCTGAAGTTCCGTCACTGGAGTACAACCTTTGTGACTTTTGCCTTTTCTGCATCGTGCCTTGTACCTTCATTTCTTAGTGTTTTCCTTCAAATGGCTTGCTCTTAAATGTAGTTTACAAGGAAACTTTATATCACCTCTGTAAGCAGAAAGCCAGTTGTTCTGCATAGAAGATAATCATAAAACCAAAACATAATGTAACGGAATTTTTGGTGGTTGTGCCTGCTGAGAGCAGTCGCTTTGAGGCCTATGAGGATCATAGGTGTTAGGTATTAAAAGTGGAGACTTTGCCTTGATGGGATGAAAAGCTTGAAGGAGAACTGAAAAGGGAACAACGTTGCCTTCTTCTTTGCGACATCTCGGAGCCTGTGGAGGCCTGATGGGAGCAGGGCTTCTGTAACAACACATATGTCTGGAAGGCTGTGGTCCAAGGCCACTTTTGTTGGCTCTAAGCAGGGTCTCCAGAACCAGAGGAGCACACAGCTCTTCTTAAAATTAAAGGTGCTGCCCTAGCCGGTTTGGTTCAGCGGATAGAGCATTGGCCTGCAGACTGAAGGGTCCCAGGTCCCATTCCAGTCAAGGGCACATGCCCAGGTTGTGGGCTCGGTTCCTAGTAGGGGACATGCAGGAGGCAGCCAAACAATGATTCTCTGTCATCATTGATGTTTTTATCTCTCTCTCCCTCTCCCTTCCTCTCTGAAATCAATAAAAATATATTTTAAAAATTTTAAAGGTGCTTATGCTCAACATGAAACTGAAGTCTGTCTAGGCAAGAGATGTGCTTATGTGTACAAAGCAAAGAACAAGACAGTGACTCCTGGTGGCAAAAGGAGCAAAACCAGAGTAATCTGGGGAAAGGAAACTTGTGCTCACGGAAACAGTGGCATGGTTCGTGCTAAATTCCAAAGCAACCTTCCCACTAAGGCCATTGGACACAGAATCCATGTAATACTGCACCCCTCAAGAATTTAAACTTATTGAAAAGTAAAGAAAAAAAATTGATTTGTTTAAAAAAAAAAAAAAAGAATAGAGAGTAGCCCGGCCAAGGTGGCTCAGTGGTTGAACATCAACTTACAAACCAGGAGGTCATGGTTCAGTTCTCGGTCAGGACACATGCCCAGGTTTAAAAAATTAAAATAAATAAATAAAAAGGGAATTAACTTTC